AGATACCAGCATAAGCATATTCCCTTAATGCCCAGATTTCTATGCCAAAACTGGCAATCAGCACCCCCCCCAGCCATTGTACCAAGCATGTAGGGATTGATTTCAATGATTTTTTTTACTGACTGTGATGCTGAAAAAAAATCGAGGAAGGATTAAAAAAGTAGCACTGGAGAAACCATGGGAAAGATCAATATTAATGCTGGAAACATCTATCGATGGCGTGCAAGCGATGTCAATGACTACACAACATAACTTGAAATAAACCAAGACAAGGACCAACACCAAGTGGAATGCATGTTCATCCTACAAAAAAAATTGCAACATGTCCAGGTTTCCCTATTACTAAAGCTAGTAGATCTGATGGAACACTTTACACCAGCAGCATTTAATCTAAAAAAAAATTCCACAAAGACCCACACACATATATATAACAATACAGTAAACCACATCTTTACCCAAACATGAATTGAATAAACATACCCTCCCCCACATGCATTTAACAAAACAATAAACCAGAATTTTATCCAAACAAGCAAATGAATAAACATACAAATATAGCCCCCCATGCTAGCACGAGAATCAGCTGCAACAATGACACCCTCCTTAAAGATAAAGGCCAGCGTAGTTGTCCCCTTAGCTGGCTTCACCATCTGTACAGCTTCCTTCTGGAAGCCATCAAACTGGAACCAAAAAGCAAAATAAAACTCAACCCACTAACAATTCTGACTTTCTCCACACAAATCGCAAGCATAGAATAGCATAACAAATAAAACTAAGACTTACATCCTTAGTCGTGGGTAGCTCAAAAGCTGGAGCAGCAGCAGCAGAAAACCCATCAACAAACTCCCTACCGGCCGTTCCAAAGACCGAGGCAGTGGATTCGAGACCACTAGTATCAAACTTCATTATCTAAAAAAGCAAGCAACACGATAACTTCAGCACTAAAAGCCTTAAATCCCGTCACTGAAAAATCATTTCGTCAAAAGTAACCGCGCAAATTTAGAAACATGAGATCGCAAACCTTAAATCTCTTGTTTTATCACATCAAAGCTATATAAAGCTTAGAATTAACGAATTAAATTTTGCTAAAGGCGCCAAATAATGTGATTGGGATTTTGTAAAACCCTAAAAAAGAGATGCATGTTTGTGTAGCATACCTTCGGATTTAGCGAGAAAGAGAAGAAATATGTGCAGAGATCGAGTTTGATTACTGGTTACTGTATCTCGAGTTTAATAGTACTAAGATTGCTGGGTTTTGTAAAGCTAGAACCTTTTCTTGTTCAACGGGCAAGGGCGGGGACTCCGGGCCTGGCTTTTATTTGGGCCTTTTGAAATTCAGTAACTTGAGCTTTTGGACATAGTCTAGGCCGGACTTGGACATGGAGTTGGGTTTGGGTTTTCACCCAATTATTCAGAAATAAGTCTATGTTTTCCAGTTTAAAACCCTTTCCCAGTTTACCGGCTTGTCATTCTTAGGAGCACTTCAATAATCATATAAAATAACATAAAATCACCAAAATTATTAGGAAGGAGAAGAGTCCATTTTTAGAGTTATTTCCCCACTGCACTGGGTTATCTTTACAACCATTTTTTAAAACTAGAAAAAATTGAGTATAGAGATAAATTATTTAAAATATTCTAGCGTTCATTGGGTGCATGAAAAGGAACTCGAACTTGGAAACTATTGTAGCTCCTTTTTTTTTCCATGATTTATCTGTCATTACCACATGCAGTGAGGACAAATAAGTATTTATTTTTTTTAATTGTATGATGAAATAATTAAGAAATCCTTAAAAACAAAAACATAAAAATAACACAGGATATTTTATAGTTGGTAATTGAAGCTGAATGAAATTTTGGTATTTGTACAAATATAAAAAGTTAATAAACAATTAAAATTTAAGTAAAATTATAAAAATATCTTTAAAATAAAAAAAAAATCAGCATGGAATTGGGATTATTTTGATTTTTCACAATGATTTTTTTATAATTACAAAGTCAGCTAAAAAAAATTTGATGTTTAGCTAAATAAAAAATAGTTAGATATCTTTAATCAAGAGCGAGTAGAAGGTGTCTACATCTTTTGAACAATATTTTTTAATATTTAAAAATATTCTTTAACCATATTATTTAAAACACCATCATATTTTTTTTTTGTTGATATAATACATATATATTTTTTATTTAATTTTAATATGATTATTTAATTCCAATTTCATACTAATGAGCTTTTCTTTTTAATTTTGCATTTTAATTACAACATTGTTTATATTTTTTATAATTATTTTAATATTTATTCTTTTAAAATTTTTTGGTTTTTTCACTAGATAGATTATTTTTTACTTTCACATTTCAAATTAAATATAAAATTTATTTTTTACTTTTTAAAAAAAAATATGATTAAAATTTATTTTTTAATTTTATCATTAATTAAAAATTAAATTTTATAATTTTTTCAGATTAGATACTTCAAGTTTAAATAATCAATCATTTAAAAAAACAAAAAATACTTTACAATCTTTTAAAAAAAATTATTGAATTATTTAAATTTTATAATTTCAGTCGCTAATTTAATAAAATATTCAAAGTTTACTTGGTATCGTCAAAGATACAAGTTTATTATAACTATGTTATGTAATTTTCTATCTCATTTCATTGCTTAACATTATTTTTTAAAAACAATACTAATAATCAAGCCCGCAATAAAACACGAACTCAAGGCAGGTGCTAATCTAAATACGTAAAGAGACTACATACATACATGTAGCACATTATATCCAATAAATAAATAAGGAAATTCAATTTTCTCAACGGGGGAGATGTCTTCTAGTCAAAACTTGAAAGTAAAGGCATTCTCATTTTCAAGTTCCAGAGTTCTGTAGGTGATTCTTTGATATAGAATATTTCTTGAATCTAGTTTTATTTTGAACTGGTGTTAGTTATTTTTATCAAAACTAACATTGTTTTATTTTTTTAATTTTTTAAACATAATTTACATTTACTTTTTTATTCATTAATTAATCTATATAAATAACAAATCAATCTATATAAATGACCCGGGCTTTTAACCCGATAAATCATAAGGTTAGTTTTTATATACATTGTAATTATTTCTATCCTCCAAAGAGACCACATGTGCATTTAAGGATAGAGCATGTAGATTAGAAGTGTTTTTGGTATTGTAATAGCTTCTATAGTTATAGTTTTAAAAAAAGATATTTTATAAAAAATATTTTTAATTGAGGTTGGTTTGGAAAAAATTATATTTAGTTAAAACTATTATTGAAATTAAAATTGAACAAAAATTAATTTAATGTGTCTAGTTAAAGAATACTTTTTTAAATTGAGGTTATAAAATAATTAAATAAGGCATATATTAATATTGATGGTTTTTGGTTGAAATATTATTGATTTAACAAAATTGAGATTACAATCAAATTCTATAAATATTACATCATCATAATTATATAGTGTCATTAAATCATGTTAAACATTGGTTTTTCAAATAAAACACAATATCTATAAAAAAAATTCGATTTTTTTTTTATTATACTAGGTCACATCAATTTTAATGTTTTTAAGTCTGGGACAAACCCAAATCAATATATTTAAATTTGAATTGGATCCAATTCAACCGATATGAGTTGGGCTAAACAAGCTCATCCCAGTCACTAGTCCAAGCCAACAACCTGACTAAATAAAGCAACATTTGTGTTGTTACACTGATTAAGTAGCAAAGCAAAAGAAAATAAAGATGAAAATTGAGCACTTTTCTAGTTATTTCTATGTTTTACTTCTTTTTTTCTTAGTATTTGTTTAGTATTGAAGTTCGATAACAAAGTTAGATGTTTTTTTTCTATTTTTTCCCAGTCTTTCATTCTTTTTTTTCGTTTTATTTTATTTTTTTTCTTTATTATTCATGTAAGCAGTAGAAATATAAAAGTGCATATATATATATATATATATATATATAATTACTAGAAAAAAAAACGTTGGATGCCTTTAGTTACTGGAAGAAGAAAGTTGCGTGTCACTGATTAGTGTGTTATAACACAATTTGCAAAAAAAGCAACTTGGAGTTGCTTCTTCTCCCCTGCACTGCAAATGCAGTAATTAATAGGGTTCATGAACAATAAATCTTATTTTTCTTTATCAAACAACTTAAATCTAAAATTTACTTGAAATATTGCTGCAGCCGCGTAAAGAAATGGATACAAGATCGGCAGTTCGGACCATTACAAGCAGTCATTTTACTGTTCAGCTTTGCGCTGTAGTTGTCATGCGAAGAACATGGACAGGCACTGCCAAGACTTGAAGATCACTCACATGCATCAAGTGACTGTCCGTAATTTTATTTTATTATTTTTGCATCAAGTGACTGTCCATAATTAATACTGTGGTGGTCCACCCATTTCACTGCCCCACCCATAATGCCCGCCGCCATAAATAAATAGTCAAAGCTTTCTCCACCCAAAAAAACAATAAAAATAAATTTGGTTACTTGTTTTCTGATAACGACTATTCGACCACTCAATTTGTAAATACTAAGAATTTGGGGGTATGACTTGTAAAACAAATAAATTAAATTATCATTATGTTTGATAAAAAAATAATTTTAAAAAGGCAAAATTTAAAAAAACTTCATTTTGTAGCAAATTTTTAATTTAAATAAAATTTATTCTTAATACAGTATATTTATGATTTTTTTATCAGTCAAAATATAAAAAAATAAATATAAATCAATTTACAACGGCTATATTAAATAGTACCTAAATTAATACCAGGTTTTACAAGATTCTACCATTCAAGGCCATTTTCCCGCATCTCTTCCATCTCTCAGGTTCTAACCAAGACGTATGCAGATAGTCGACACCCAACCCATGCCTACCATGAGTAGTTTTTTAAAAATATGTCACGAGATTCATATTACTAATAAATAGTTCTAACCCAAGATAGGTTAGTTTAGATTAATTTAAAATGATATAATTTCAAGATATTTTTTAAAAAATAATTGAAACGCTTTAAGAAATTTCAAAACCATGTTCTTATTTTTTAAAAAAAGATAATTTTTAATGGAATTTTAATTAAATCATAAGTTGATTCACCAGATAATCAAGTCAAGTTGATTTTTAAACTAATTATATATAAAATTGAACATGAATTAAATTTTAATTTAGTAAGTTAATAAATTAATTCTAATGATTTGTCCATGAGCTAAGATTTAATTCATTGAAAACACGTTGAGATGTGAGCACTAGCATTTAAAGCTGGATACAAGATTACTACCATGGAGAGAATCGAAATAAGGAATGTCGGATTATGAAATAAAAAATTTAATTATCGTTATAGTAGTTCCAAAAAAAATCATTAAAGGGAATGGATGTCAGATATCGCAGACGTTTTCCTGGTCCATAATTGTAGACAGTCTTGATTTTTTTTTTTTAGTTATGATTTCTTGCTGTTACTGTTGTTTAATTTATTTAATATATTTTCTAATAAAACCCTTCTTTAATTTTTTTTCTAGAGAGGAAACAAAACATCTTGATTTATCCCAGGAAATTAAGAACAGAAAGATAGCCTTTATTTTCTGTAAATGCTTATACTTCACATTGCACGGCTTGTTGCGCACCAGTGAGTATGGTAGCACGGGGTCATTTAAGGAGGTAATTTAACTCATCTCTTCTTTTAGATCTAAATTTAAATACAGAAAACGACAAATTTGTAATGAAACAGCTATCCTTGTCATTTGAATTTTTTGGGCAAACTTCATTTTTACCCCTAAAAATTCCCCAGGGTGAAAACTCAACCAATTTTATTTTTTTATATAAAAAGTGTGCTCATCATTAAAGGAAATTTTAAATTATAAAAGTGATCGAGGCAATATTAAAATTCAATTTATTTTAGTTATTGACAATGATACTAGAAATGAGAATTGCCATTTATAGAAGTAGCGTGTTAGACATTGTGGTGTAGATTATTTTTTAAAATAATTTTTTTAAATAAATTAAAATATTTTTTTAATTTTTAACATTGGTATATTTAAAATAAATATAAAACACTAAAAATATTAATTTATTATTTTTTAAGCTAAAATCACTTTCAAAAAACACTAAAGGCAAAATCCCTCCTCAACATACCCGTATTTATGGAGTGTTGGGCAAGTTAGTGTATTTTTTAAAAATAATTTGTAAAGTAACACAAGCATGTAAATAATTAGAATTCTAGTATAATTAAGTGAGTCATAAATGTCATTCTGATTCATGTTTTTTAGACGGTATCTATAACTCCTTTAACATAGATATCGAACAGTCTATTCTACTGTCAACTTCCTATAAAAGAAAAAAAAAGCAATTCACACAGTTACAAATAATTAATTCTCCACTATTAAAGCAAGTTCATGTAAGCATCGAGTAATATATTAAATCATAAATAACAAATATACATTAACATGTAAAATAATATAATATTTTATTAAAAATTAAACTAATTATACATCTATCAATAATTATCATAATATATAATAATATTTAATAATCTCTTTTCTTATCCAACTTAAGGTTGGTTTTGTAATATCCATTTAAGTTTAAGAAAGACCAATTTCATCCCGGCTCTTGGACGGAGTTGAACTCTCATAAGTAATTTCATCTTCTTATTAATGCTATTTCAAGATACTTAACCACCCGGTCTCTTAAAGTTTGCCACAATATAAATTGAGCATGATATTGCTCATAATACATCCCATTTTATCAACACCTTCATGGATAATTATTGTTGCCTTTTGAGCTCCTCTAGTTCGCACCATGTTTACATCGAGGTTTTGTATAAAAAAATTGCTAGCATATACAATTTAATTAAAGGTGACACAATTTAAAACAAATATAAAAAAATAATATATATTATCTAATTTCACAAGTTTTTCTGCAAATTGGTACACCAGCATAATAAACTCAAGTAACTCTGGTTTGCAACATTTTCCAAGTAATTTTAACTTTTATTACAAAGATATTTTAATAAAGTAGATCACATAACATTCTCGATAATTTATCAAGGGACATGTTCGATGTAGCAGATAGAAATTCATGACTTTCTCTATTATAAGTGATACCATTATCAGTATTAACAATGATACTACAATTGAAGTATTATATTCTTGAATTACTAGAGATTATATTAAACAACACAACAAAACACAATTATATTTTATTAATATATTGGGATTAATCAAATTACATTAATCATTAACAAAACATTAATTGACTAGTGAATACCTACATTCATTAAATTAACCAGCGGGCCTTTATATTCATCAAATTCTAGTACCATAACATAATTACCAAAAAAATTATTGTATTTTATAACTAATATTATTATTTTATGCAAAATTTGATATAATTTATAATTTAATCAAAATTAACACTAATTATCTCATTATAAAATTATTTTAATTCACAGTCAACAACAACAATAAAACATTTATTATTTAACAAGATAATCAAACTATTAACTAAGAATATATCTAACTAACCTTGTTCATAGTTTAACATAAATCAACACTAACATTTCAAACATATAATTTTGTCAATTCACAATAAACAACAATTTAAAATAAATCAATAATAAAACAAAATAACACAATTATATATAATTTATAACTTCAATTACATTTATTTAACCTAATTCCTAATTCAGAACCTAACATTCAATAAAACTAAAGTAACACTAATTAAACATAAATTATATTAAATCAATCGAGGAAAAATATCTAGTATGTAACACTAATTAAATATAAATTACATCAAAATAATAGAGGGGGAAAGTGTTTAGTATATCTTTTGAAGTGAAATGTGAGGGATGTGGCTGACTGGTGGTGGTTGACTTGGTCGAAAAATCCAACACCGATCATTGGTAGAGAAAGAAAGCTTGGCTGTTGCTGGTTTTGCTAGAGAGAGAAAACGATAATTGCTGTAGAGAGAGAGAGAGGAATGTTTTAGGGTTGTTAGGGGTTTTTAATGATAGAGAGAGATCTCTACATGGCTTTAATCTGAAATAAGTTGTAAATATTATTTATAACTCGTTTAAATATACTATTTCATGAAATATTTTTTTAATTATTTTATTTTACCAATTTTTTTCTTGCAGTGTTAAAAAAGAAAAAATCACGTGCTCATGGGCGATGACATAGTGAAATCCAATAAAAGAGCTACGGTGAGATAGGACGGCGGCAGGAAGATTTTAACCTTTGAGACGAAATTATAGGGTTTGGAGGATGAGTAAAAGCAGCAGACAAGTTAGATTTTGAAAAGTCGTAAGAACCACTCATTTCCACTTTCAAATGAAAGCAGTCAACGCGAATCCAGCACGTGTAGGGCTCACCCCTAGTCCTCCAATTAATGATGCTGTCTAGGGAATTAAGTTTGCATATGCATGACCATGAGCACCATCCATGCATCATGATACCTCTCTTTTATTATTTAATTGCCTTGAAATCGTGCTCTCTTTTATTATTTTATTATAAAAAACAGATAGATTTTTTTTTTTAAAAAAAATAAACATGCATTTGAATTGAATTTCTATATGTTTTACCATAGTGACGAGTGTTCCCCTGTCTAATTTTTATATATATTAATAAAAAAACTATTTAAATTTATTTATTATAATTTTTATTAAAATGAATGTTTAGGTTACCCTGTATAAATGTTGACTAATCCTGTATATTATAAAATTAATGATTATATAAATCTTTAATAATTTTAAAGTTTATTAAATTCAAATTAAAAAATTTTAAATACTAAATTCAAAACTAATTAATTAATTTACACCTTCAATTTTTTAATTTACAAGCAATGGAATGATTGCCAATGCTAATTAATTGTTGAGTAAAAAGCGACTTCATACCATATTCTTCATATTTCTATTCCTAAAACTCATTTCAAGTAAACCACCTTTAACTGAACAATTTGTTTCAAGATAGAATTTACAAATAATATTTTTTTTTCATTCTTGAAATGTTTTACATCAAAATAAAAAATTAAAAGCTAAAGAATTTTAACATTTATTTAAAGAATTTTAGCTTGTAAGTAACCTTCCACGTTAAAATTATAAAATATTATTTTTTACAAGCAGCTGTTTTTAAGCCGATATATTTATTTTTGTTTGCACTAGTAAATACCTTTTCTTCCATAGAGTCGTCGTATCAATTCGCATAATTTGGTCGAATGAGTGAGAGATGATATAATTATTAGAGGCAAATTCATAGTGAAAAGAGTACTCTAATTACATGAATCCAAGTTGTTTTGCTCAAGGATATCATGCAAATAGTGGAGGATCAACCAGGGGCACGGCCTAGCACGTTGTTTGTAATTGATTATTTATTGTAATTGAATTTAATTATAGTATTTTATTTAAATTTAGTTAATAAATAAATTAAATTTAAATATTTAAAAATAATAAAATTCAATTTATTTTGTTTCTTATATCACATTTATTACCTTAATCTTACATTTTGAAATATCTTTAAAAAAAAGTCAGATAAGTATTTTAGAAAAGTTAATCTTAACATTAAATTTATTTATTTTTAAATTGTAAATTAGAAGGATTAATCTCTGATTTACTTTTACGATGTTTTTAGATATTAAATTTTATTTAAACTCAATTCTTAACACTAGAAAGAATCTTAAATATAAAATTTCATCAAGACTATTAAATTTAATTTAATTTAGAGAATTCCAAACATAGTGTAAGAATACACACAAGCTATTAATTATTATTTTAATAGTTCAATATAATCAGAACTATATATTAACTAGCAGGAATATTATTATTAGAATTTGAATCCACTGACCAGTATCGCTGATTACTTGAACATCAACTGTATATATTTTGCAACATGAATCCCTCTAAGAACATTCATATTTATGATCTCTTTAACAAATTTACTCGCTGTATATAGCAAGTCCATCAGCTGAGCTAAACTTCAAGGGAAAACTCTTCCAACTTATCCAGAAAATGGAATGATTAAACGATGGCTAATGATAGGGCGAATCTTTTCTTCTCGTGGCGGATTACGTGCTTAAAATGTGGTCAAAGGCTTGGCGTGACTCAACGTGCTGTAGAATTATGGAGCCGCACGTTAATTAGATGCAATTTAGACTCCAAACACCTTCTAGATTCGAAGACTAATCATGCATCTGTTATCCATGCTCCCAGGAGCCAAGACCCACCTGTTTCAGCTTTCGGCCATATGCATGATGCTTGCTGGCCCTACAACTTGGAATCGATGTGCCATTTTCCCCACCAGCCCGATTCATATTTTTAATCAATGGCATCCACGTGTTTAAGCTTTTTTTTTTATTTATTAACTAGATGGCCGGGTTAATTTATATGTATTTTTACTAATATCGTGCGCCTACAATTAATAATTATATAAGTTTTTTATATTAATTAAATTTTAATGCCTCAGCAGCAGCAGCAATATGATTTTTGTGCGTGCATTTATTAGATTTTTTTATCGTTGTTTATTTATCCTGCATTAACTGGTCTTCGATCCTCGGAGACTATAATAATCTTAATGCATAGTATTATGTTTAGTCGACCATGGATATACGAAAGAACTCATTGTCTGCTCCATGGAATTCTTTTTTCTAGACGAGATTAGTGCTCCACGACTTGAGACGATGGCATGCGTAGAAGTTTGCGGGCAGTAGAGTTGACTCACACTCCTCCTCAAAACCTGGTGTTATGCTAGACGCGAGTGGCAAGTCTGGATCCCCATGTTTGCTGAACAGTCCCCGCTCAACAATTGCAGTGCTGAATGTTTTTGATTTATTTATCATTCTCGTTACTTGGGGAAAAAAAAATCTTCATGCCAATAGAAGTATCCTTCTATTTCCCTTTTTAAACAAGACCTCATTGAGATAAAAAAAATAAATAAAAAATAGTGATTAAACAACACATCTCATTACCCCCCTCCCCAAATAAATTTTTTTTTTTTCTCTCACGTGCTTGGGGACCTTTCCTGAATGTGGAAGTTTATTTCAAGAATGTTTAGGAGTGTAGTAATTATAATTTAAAATATTTTATATTAATAATATATTTAAATAATATTTTTTATTATTTTTAAAAATTATTTTTAACATTAACATATCAAAAAAAATTTAATTTTAAAATAAATAAAATAAAAATTTTAATTTTAAAAAACATAATTTCGTTTCTAAAAATTGTTTTTGAGTGTTTTTAAAAAACACAATATAAACTGTGTTTCCTTGAATTTTAAATTTTTTTAGTTAAAATAATTTTTTATTATTTTAATATATTAATATCAAAATAATTTTAAAATATAAAAAAAATATTAAAATATATTTTATTTTTTTTAAATTATCATCATCACAATTAAAAATATACCCTTCAACGAGTTCAGAAGATATTTAATAAATTATAAAATTAATCATACTACGTGAAAGCTATCCACGTTAATATATAGATATATACCCTTCATATGGAGCCGGGGACCTGAATCTGGTTTTGACTCACAGACGTGTTGCTGGTGTTCCTTGTGCCCCGTAGAACTATGTTCAACGTTTTTTGTTTTTAATAATGCTGTATCAATTAGCCAAGCGAATAGTTAATATGAAATTATAAATCACTCCAAGTCTACGTCCATTCATCTTAGTATAGTTCCTTCTCTCTTTTTTTTTTTGCAAATTTATTACATCATGGTCATTTTGATTAGTTTAAAGTTCGAGTCACTTAACCATTTGCTTCGTAATCCTTTTGCTAATCAATCCCTTCTACACGCCCCCGTGTGTGTATAAATTCAAAAGTAATATTTTTTTAATTCTTTTATCTTTGACACCTTCTTCACGAATTGTACTTGGTATGTTTTACTATTCATGTCTACTGATTTATTTTTATATTTTAAAAGTATTTTTTAAAAAAAATAAAAATTATTTACTTATTTATTTATTTTAAATTATTTTAATATGCTGATGTTGAAAATAATTTTAAAAAATAAAAAAATATTTTAATATATTTTTAAATAAAAAAACTTTAAAAATAATTACAATTACACTTTAAACATATTCTTTATCAGCTAGAAATCCTCCCGGTATGTATAACACCTTTTTCCTTTCTTTCTTTTTTTTTTTTAAAAAATTTTAGAGAAGAAGTTTGAATCCGAAATCTATCAAGGAAAAAAAGAAAGATATTAATACAGATTGAACTTTCTGTAGAATTCCTCAAGGATTTGACTTTGACTGATAAAGATAAAAGGGCGAGAAGATTTTATTAAAGATGTTTCTCGGAAAAAAAACAAGAACAAAAAAGAGCCTCCTCTTAAATATCAGACATGCTTAATTAAGCAAGTTCGTGAGCGTAAGTCAATATATAGATTGCCGTATAGGGTCAGAAGGATTGATGTGAAGTAGAAGCAACGAAAGCAAGGCCAATGATCCTCAACCTGTGCAGAAGACTTGCTTAAAATCACACATATCTTGCATGAAAGGTAGAGAGATGCAAACAGAAAAAGCTTACAAATCAATCGGTGGTTAGATCGATGCCTGACTTCGGAGGTAAGATAGAACAAAATTTATCCCATATCCCATGTGATTGAAATGATAGAAAGAGTTCCGTGATCAGAACAAAAAGTTTTCACAGTTCTTGCTACTTTACTTCTCAAGTTCCATTTGGAATTAGTGACTATTATCACGAGGTTTTTTCTCTCTTGTATAAAGCAAAATATTACTGATGCAAGAACATTTATCATTATTTTTTAGACAACTTTTCATTGATGTAAACCTATTTTAACGATGGCACACACGAGAGAGAGTTTTTTTAAAAAAGTTTCAGGCCGGACCCTGACCATACCGAGCAACCGCGGGTCTAGATCAAGTGCTTGGACTCGATACATGTCCAAACAACTCGTGAATCTTGTTTTATGACCTGAATGAAACGCTTAATTCTTATGATTTTAGTATGATCAAAGTTTTTTAGCTTGGATTTTACTTTATTTACACATCTAAATATATAAAAGAGTTTCTTATAATTTATCATGTTAATATTTATGTTAAAAATATTTATTATTTATTAATTTTTATATAAAAAATATTTATTTTTTACTAATACATGTATAATAATATTTATCATCTCAATAAGGGATTCTTAATTTTTATTCTTAACATACCACCATCATTTTTTTTGTTCAAAACATTTACTTCATATTAAAACAAGAATAAACAACTTTATTTTTTGAATTAATTATTTTTTTTGAGTATTTTTTACAATTCCCCCCTGCAAGTGAGCATTTGAGGGTCCCAGATCCATAAAGGGAGAACTATTTTGTGGGTGTTAGAATTCTTACACCAACCTATCAACTTTCTTTATTATGAAGAATAGATTTAATACCATAAATACTTAATTAAGTTTGTTATCCAACCACCCAATAAAAAAAAAAAAACCATAGTTACAAGCACCTTGAATTTTAAGACATTGTTAGTTATAAAAGATTAGTTTTACTACCAGTTATTTAAGGTTAGTTTAAAAAATACAGGCGGTCTTACTCCTATCATTAAATAATTATACTTCTTCAATTTTTATTAAGAATTCTCATCCATTTAAAAGTTTTTCATCCATATTTTTGTTCAAGTTGTATTCTGTTTGTTCTTTTTAAAAAAGAAAAGATATTATTTTTTTAAAAAAAATTTGTTTGGTGATTTAACAACATTCTTTGATTAAAAAACCAAAATAATTAAAAAATAAAATTAGTAAGGAAAACAATTTGGATGTAAAATAATTTTTGCACTGCAATGACAATATCGTTGATGGTTGCCCCGAAATTGAATTAAAAGACAGTAAGAGATGTTAATGAATTAGACGACACCAACGTGTGAGAAAACCATCCTGGAGAGAAACCTTTCTTAAGTTACATACATAGTCTTTAGTTTAGTCCACATAAATAATTAGTAAAAGTTCTCTGTCTTTCATCAACACATGATAATTTAAAGGATGTAGTATTTTTTTTTTTGATTTACGTGGGCTGTTTGGGCCAGTTTACACGCACCACGATTAATCCTCACGGCCCACTGAATATTCTGTAAATCCAATAAGCAGGTAAGGTATCGCGGGGGTGACAGACATGCATGGTAAAACTCGAACCTAAGTGTAGAGAAAAGGGACAAATCCCTCCTACCACTGGGCTAGAACCTTACTTACGGGTCTAGTATTTTTATAAGATAAGGATGTGCAGCCCATGTAAGATGTAAGATTAGATAAACAATAAGCATCCAAGTTGGATAAAATGTAAAACAATTAGTTTAATTAAAAATCTTAAGGTGTTATATAAAATTTTAAAATATAATATATATTATTTTTTAATATAATATTTACAATAAAAGCATTTTAAATTTAAAACTTGTATATTATATTTAATTTTTATTAAATAAATAAGAAATGTAAAATTTAAATTCATAATTATTTAATCATTATTATAACTTTGACACCTTTTAATTTAAAAATTTGTATTATTAAATAAAATTATAAAATAATATTCTTTTATATGAATTCCTGAACTCACCTAGTCGGAGATTAATTTGATTGGACAAAAACCACATCGTTTTCTTCCGAGAGAAACGAGAAACAATGGTAATTTGTTTTCTTTCCAGTTAAATAATGGCGAGGCACGAGCTGTACTTTAACTAGCTTGGTTGTCTTTACGTTATCCAGGAAGTATTATTCTAATGAGATTTTAATTAATTTAACTTGTATTGCCACGTACACAGTTCATTTACTTTGATTGGCTTGGTTGTTTTATATTATCTAGGAAGTATTATTCTAATGAGATTTTAATTAATTTAACTTGTATTGCCACGTACACAGTTCATTTACTTTGATTGGCTTGGTTGTTTTATATTATCTAGGAAGTATTATTCTAATGAGATTTTAATTAATTTAACTTGTATTGCCACGTACACAGTTCATTTACTTTGATTGGCTTGGTTGTCTTTATATTATCTAGGAAGTATTATTCAAATGAGATTTTAATTAATTTAACTTGTATTGCCACGTACACAGTTCATGTACTTTGATGAGCTTGGTTGTCCTTGTATTATCTAGGAAGTGTTACTAGGCTTTAATTAATATAACTTAGTATTTAAATTTATTTGGCCATCGATTTTCTCACCACCCCTCGATTCGATTCAATCTATCTTTTATATATATCCTCTGTTTCTCTTTATATGATTTTTCCTGCATAGATCATTTTAAGTTTATTAGTTTTTTCTAAAAATCTTTTGCTGGGATTCTTCATCTAAAAATTTTAGTTTTCTCTTTTGATGATATATAAAATTAATATTTTATTTAATTATGATATAATATATAAAAATAAAATTTTAAAATGATAAAAGAATATAATTATGGTTGCTTTTGAAATAATTTTTTATGTTGAAATATATACTAGTAATGTTTTTAAAAATATTTTTAATACTATTATATCAAAATTTTAAAAAAAATTAAAAAAATATATGAATTTAAAATAAATAAAAAAAATATTTTTTAATTTTTAAAAATATTTTTTAACTGTTAACTGGCAGCAAAAGAAAAAAAGCTGGCTCATGTTTCAGCTACGAACGAGCAACCTCTCGTATTCCATGGTGCTAGAATAATTTATATTTTCGAAGAAAAAACACAATTACTTTGATCTAGGAGGTGAAATATATTTTCAATATACTTGAAACATGGAATAGATTAAAAATAAAATAAAATAATAATTAACCTTTTCGTGCTATGAGCAGCACGTGTAGTTGGTCTCTCTGGGTATTTTCTGTTCTTTCTCCTATGTATGTGGGCCTAGTGATATGTTTTTCACCGTCGACGGTGGAGAAAACTACAGAAGTTGCCGTGAAGCATGGATCTGGGGGCGAGTAATTATCATCATGTTAAAGTCGATGGTGAAAAAATGACCACGTGGCGTTTTAATAACTGGGGATTTCTGTTTCCGTACTCCAGCAACGGAGACATCCGCTGCCAATCAAGGCAGAAATGTTTTTTAATGACAAAAATACCCTCTCCTCTTCTTAGTTTTCAAGCCTATCCCTCCCACAAGCCGTCTCTTGCCAAAATTAGGAGGCATGCCGTCGCGTCTTGGGTGCCAGAACCAGACTAAGACACTAGTCATGGAGGAGGTTGGCTTCCAATTTAAGACCTCTGATATGGTTGAGCGATAAGAGACAAGAACCGATCAAGTTCATTGCCTTATCTGTAAAATGGAGACTGCTATTATAATTAACTGGTGATGTGAAATGACCTTGAAGTCACTTGGTGTAAGCAAAATTTGTAAATGGGTTACCAAATTCTGCTTTCGATTGCATGATTATCACGTGAAATGTTTACATCATAAAATGGGACCATCATTTTTTATCCATGTTTTTTATATTTATTATTAGTTTTTGAAATAGATCTGTATTCATGAAAAAAATATATTTATTTTAAATATCTAACGAAGTTACAACACAGTTATAATTGCTTCACGTAGTTACCAAAAATATGTAACCGCTTCTTATATTAAGAAGCATGTTAAAAAAATTATTTGTTTTTTCAATATTTATATCTCTGAATTAATTTAATAAAATTTAAAAGGATGTTTGTATTGTGAAATATTTATTTGTTCTAGTAATTAAAATAATAATGAAGTAGTCAATCTGAAGACAAAAAAATAAATTCTTGAATTTTCAGTAAGTTTTACTTCATTTATTAATCTATTTCATATGTACAGTATACTAAGTTTATATTACCTTTGATAGCTAAGGATTCATTGTTGCGTTCATCAAGACTTTGTTTTCTAAACTTTTGATTCTATTTATGTATTTATTTATTGAAAAGCATGGAAAATAATGCTTTTCAATTCAAAAGGCAGAAACAATAGCTTGAAGAAACAGGCTCTAAGATTGCTTCATTCTTCAGTCTATACAAAAAAAGAGAGCGTGTGTCTATATATATATATATAGACACACATATTTGATTAATATAACTAACGTAGGTTTAACAATATTACGTGTAATTGCTGCATAATTCATTCCTGTTAATTTAGAGGGTTTTTTCTATGTTGTTTTATAAAAATTTGTCCGAGTTAATGTTTAATCTTAGGTTGTTCGAGTATTTTTTTTTAAAATTTAAAAACATTTTGATATAATAATATAAATAAAATTTTAATATATTTTTAAGTAAAATTTAATTTAAAAATAACCTTATCGCTTCTGAATATAATAATATACAGAGAAAAATCCAAAAATTTATTTGGATTCTTAGCTATATTTGAATGGTAGAGCTTTACTTTCTATTTCTAAATAATATAAATTTCCTTTAAAAACATTTTAGATTTATTTTTATATTTATATTTCTATCTTTCAATTAAAATATCTTTAACTAATTTATATTTATGTTTTCTATTATAAAACATAGCTAATTATAATTTAATGGATACACGGTGAAGCAGATTTGCTAGTTGCCTCTTGCAGGAAAGGAAGTAAAAGCGAAGCCCAGCTAAAAGGGAGGAGAGATTACTGTGGGTTTAGATGCTGAAAAGGAGGACAATATGGTAATCTGATAGTATCCATGACAGATCTGCTAACCGACAAACAAGGAGGTCGGCATTGTCGGCCGGTGAACCTGGGAGAAGACATTAATAAGCTGCGAAAATTCCCCAACCCCCCATCTCCCCTCCCCCACTTCAAAAAACAAATAAAATAACCTTTATTTAATTCATCTTATAAACAAATAAACTGCTTGGATTCTTAACTATATTACAGTCACAGTTACTATTTTTATTTATGTATTTCTGAGCAGTGCGTTACGTTCCATTACATTATTATTTAGTTATTCCTTTGCCGTAGACGCCCACTTGAACCAAAATATAAAAGTAAAAAAAGTCCCCTTATTTTCTTCCTCCTCTCTTGAAAACGCAACCGATTTGAGCTCCTGCTCTAACGAGATGGGACTGTACAGATCATCATAGAAACCTTACCCACAATCCTCTCTTTCGTCAACTTTTTTTGTTGTTGTAAATGCTCTTCTATAAAGCCTCCCTGACCCGCCCCGATTATCCCGGCAAGGTTTTTCATTTCCTCTATTTTTTAACGAAACCCTAATTTTTAGCTGTTGGTTAGTTATTACTATTTTCTCTCTTGAAAAATAATAATTACAATTGGTTCTTCTGTTTTTGGAGCGTTTCTGTTTTGTGCATCCGTGGTCAAATCGTGTTTTATAAAGTTATTTTGTGGTTTGTTATGATTGGTTGGCTGTGTGTTTTCTTTTTTTAGGAAAATGAAATGATATTATCACGCTTGTTTCTGTGTTGCTTTTCCTGGTAAAAGGATTTCCAAGTCATTTTCGAAATCAATCTTTAAGAAAAATATTTCGATTCTGATTTCATTTAGTATCAGGCAAGGTCTTTTCTTTTTCTCTCTATACAATGCCTAAACCTATTCGTGTTTGTTGTTTTTAAATTCTTTTCCTTTGCTTTGTGATCTTTTTATTTTTATTTTTTTGTGTTCTTGAGGTTTGATAAAGTGTCTTAATCAAACGATGTTCTTGTTTCTTTTTTCCTCACAGAATGATGCTACATGTGTCAATTCATGTTTGAGGATGTTATTATAATTATTTAATATTTGTTTCCTCCTTTTTTTTGGAAAAAAATTTGAATGATCTCTTATCTTATTTTCTTGATTCGTTTCTGGTGGCTGAGGTGTTTTGAGTTTAGAAGAGAGTTTATTCGAATGGGTGGGTTTGCTAATTCGTGCTATCATTTTAATGGTCTTCAAGTCAGTTTTTTTTTGGATTTTCTTATCCAAGAAAACGGGAATGTGAATTTTGGCTTATAATTCTATTCAATGATACCAAATTGTGTTTGTTTGATGTGGAAACTACATAGGAGGGTTTGTTTTGCCTTACTAATGTGTTTTGTTCTTGTTTCAGTTTATATAAATTTGTACTGTAATTCTCCACGGTGAATGTGAATTATGGATGTTACTGAGGTTGAAGAAAATTTGTTTGCAGCAAGCGATGCCAAGGTATTGTTCTTTATTTCTTAAGAAAAATCTTGGATTCGGTGTTTTTGTGTACTATTCTTAAGGAACCCCCCGATTCCATCTGGGCTGAGCAGCCTACTTATTTGTTTCTCTAATTTTTACGATTCTGCTCGTTTCCTGATGTATACGGAAAATGCAATGCCTGCCTTTAAATTATGGCACTTGCTGTTTATGGTGATTGCCTAGTAGACTTGGGTTTGATTGTGTTGAATGTGCTTCATGCCTGCCTTTAAATTATGGCACTTGCTATTTATGGTGATTGCCTAGTATACTTGGGTTTGATTGTGTTGAATGTGCTTCTGTTTTGTTTGCTTCTGGTGCTTGGTGTTCTCTCTCTTTGTGCCAGAAGTTATTCCATTTAGGCTGACATATTTTTTCTGTTCATCTGTTGGGAGTCTTATTTACAATATATTTGTTTGTGATGTTCACATTGTTACCCTTTTGTTAGGCCATGAAAACACTTTTTCTCTAAGGTCTTCAATGAACTTTAACTTAATTGACAATATTTCCACCTGTATTCAGCTGCATGGAGAAATGTGCAAGGAACTCTCTGTAATTTATTGCAAAATCCTGTCCATTTTCCCTTCATTGGAAGCTGCAAGACCTAGGAGTAAATCTGGCATTCAAGCATTATGTTCGATGCATATAGCCCTTGAGAAAGCCAAGAATGTTCTCCGGCATTGCTCAGAATGTAGTAAGCTTTACTTGGTAAGATAATCCTTTTTTTTGTAGATGCACTAAAATTTGCTTTTCTTTTTCTGTTTTTTTTTTTCCGTGATATTAGTTTTCTGATGGAATTGCATTTCTGACACAGGCTATAACTGGAGATTCTGTCCTTTTAAAATTTGAAAAGGCAAGATCTGCTCTTGTAGATAGTCTTAGGCGTGTTGAAGATATTGTTCCACAATCAATTGGATGCGAGGTAGCAATTTCCTTTCTGAACTCTATTTCTTGATGGTCAATTTGAAGATGATATCATTCATAAATTGGGTTGTCCAAACAAAGTGAACGTAGAAATGATGTATCAAAATTTTGAGTATTCATGTCCTTGCTGTATATCAACAAGAATCCTATCATTTCTGTATGTTAATATTTCATCTCCAATGGTTTCATCAACATCATATTTCATTTACGTTGAATTAACCATGCTGTCCTGGAATTGTTTTGTGGTCTTTTTCTAGCCCTGTTCCTTGTGCCTGTATTATTTAGAAGCACCTTTTGATCCCCTTTGTAATTTGAAATCTTGTCAGATTTTGGAGATTGTAAGTGAACTTGAGGGTACTGAATTCTCTCTTGATCCATCAGAGAAGCAAGTTGGTGATGAGATAATTGTATTGCTTCAGCAGGGGAGAAAATTCGACAACTGTAATGACACTAATGAGCTAGAATCATTTCATGAGGCTGCTACTAAACTTGGTATCACCTCTTCTAGAGCAGCTCTTACAGAGAGAAGAGCTCTTAAGAAACTTATAGAAAGAGCTCGTGTGGAGGAAGACAAGCGGAAGGAATCAATTGTTGCTTATCTCTTACATCTCATGAGGAAATATTCCAAGCTATTTAGAAGTGACCTTACAGATGACAATGATTCACAGGGTTCAGCACCTTGTTCACCCACTGTTGAGGGTTCTTTTGAAGATGGAGGCCATGCCTTTGAGCGACATTTATCAAAGCTTAGTTCATTAAACTTCAAGCCAAACTTTAGGAAATCTGGGCAAATGCCTCTTCCACCTGAAGAATTGAGGTGTCCTATATCATTGCACCTGATGTATGATCCAGTCATCATTGCTTCTGGACAAACGTATGAAAGGATCTGCATTGAGAAATGGTTCAGTGATGGGCATGACACCTGTCCAAAGACTCAACAAAAGCTTTCTCATCTCTGCTTGACTCCTAATTATTGTGTCAAAGGTCTTGTTGCTAGTTGGTGCGAACAGAATGGAGTCCCAGCACCTGATGGTCCTCCAGAGTCTCTTGACCTCAACTATTGGAGGCTGGCAATGTCTGAGCTTGACTCTGCAAATTCAAGATCTGTGGAGATTGTCGGTTCTGGTAAGTTGAAAGGGGTCAAGGTAATTTCTTTGGAGGGGAGTGGTCTCATTGAGGAGGCTGAAGAAACTGAAACTGAGAATTTATCACTGCAACAGGAAGATTCTGTTCCAGAAGATGACTTTGGGGATAATGTATTTGAAAGATATCAGAATTTTCTGACCATCTTGAATAGTGATGAAGACTTGAAGAAAAAATGCAAAATAGTAGAACAAGTGAGGCTTCTTTTGAAGGATGACGAGGAGGCCAGGATTTTTATGGGGGCCAATGGGTTTGTTGAAGCACTATTGCAGTTTCTAGAGTCAGCTGTGCATGCTAGGAATCCAATGGCCGAGGAAATTGGAGCAATGGCTCTTTTCAACCTTGCCGTCAACAATAACAGGTGTGTGAAGTCATTAAATATCAAATTAACACGGAGTAGGTGTAGTAGTAGTACTATGATATGCTTAATAGGTATTAGAATCATTATTAAAATCAAGAGGTGTTAGTAATAATTGAGTGACACATGCTTTTTATTACTGGAACCGTTGTGGATCTTCTTGTCGACAGAGAAAATTCTGCTAGAGATAGGGAGTTAGGTTCTTGATTCATTTTCCATAGATCTATGAAGTGTGAAGATGTTCCATGAATTTTATTGTAATTGATCTGCTTTCTGTTACTCTGTTCCAGAAATAAGGAAATGATGTTGGCTTCTGGTGTTATCTCATTGTTGGAGGATATGATTTCCAACTCTGACTCTGATGGATCAGCAACAGCTCTCTATCTAAATCTCTCCTGCCTTGAAGAAGCGAAGTCCATCATTGGTTCAAGTCATGCTGTGCCTTTTTTAGTCCAAATCCTTCAAGGTGAAACTGGAGCGCAATGCAAGCTTGATGCCCTTCATGCCCTTTATAATCTCTCCTCCCACCCCACCAATATTCCGAATCTCCTTTCAACTGGCATCATCGGTGGCCTCCAGTCCCTTCTTGCAGTCCCTGGTGATCATGCATGGATAGAAAAATCTATAGCAGTGCTGATAAATTTAGCATGTAGTCAATCAGCAAAAGATGAAATGCTGTCTGCCTCTGGCCTTATTAGCGGGCTAGCGACTATATTAGACACTGGCGAACCCATAGAGCAGGAGCAGGCTGTTGCTTGCCTTTACATTTTGTGCAATGGGAGTGAGAAGGGTAGTCAATTGGTCCTACAAGAAGGAGTTATACCTGCGCTGGTCTCAATCTCGGTGAATGGGACCACAAGAGGGAAAGATAAAGCTCAGAAACTTCTCATGCTGTTTCGGGAGCAGCGGCAGCGAGATCAACCATCTGCTGAGGTGTGCTTTCAGCAAGATCAATCATCTGCTGAGGTGCGCTTTCAGCGGATTGAAAGTAGTTCCATGTCCATGCCTGCTCCCGAAACAAAGCCGCTATGCAAATCTGTCTCAAGAAGAAAGATGGGGAAAGCTATAAGCGTTTTTTGGAAGAGCAAGAGCTACTCAGTTTACCAGTGTTAAGTTGGTGTTGTAAATTTCTTCTGTATCCTTTTCCTTTCTTTTGTCTTGGGGGCATTATTTGTTTTTCTTTTCATAGGGAAGAAGAGATGTACAGGCCCTTGTAAGCATGGATTTTGTTCTTTTCTTTGCCTTCCTCTACAGGTAGGAATGCATGTACCATATATGCAAATTATAATGGAAGCCTTAGTAGATTAGCCTTATAGTAAAACAACTTTGTGGTGTCTTCATACCCCTAATTTTTGGAAGGCTAATATCCCACATCACCACCAATTATCTAATATTATAGCATGTGGAAGAACTGCTACAAAGAGGGTCTTTTAATCCTTGTGTCCGAGCCCGGAGTAGTCCTCATGAACGAGCTTTCATTTAAACAAGAATTCGCACCAGAGTCCGTCATCAAAGTCAATCTCAAAGAAATCAATGTTGGAATCTCCGATATTAAGAATTTAATATGTTCATATTAGGTTATTAGTTACTGTCAAAAGATCACGTCAACAAGCCCGTCTAGCTCAGTTGGTAGAGCGCAAGGCTCTTAACCTTGTGGTCGTGGGTTCGAGCCCCACGGTGGGCGCTTTAATTTCTTACTGTTTTATATAATGTTTTTACTTTCGAGAAGCCCTGTGACTGCAGTGTCAAAAGCTTCATGGGTTCTTCTGCAACCTCTACGGGAGCGGCTTCCACTTCCATTATCAACAACAGTTTGTTGGTTTTCAGCACATACAATCTCCCAAACAAGTTTGATTCCTTTAAACGTGTCAGTAATTTGCTGATCCTTTCTGATTGTTATTTTGTGATGGTAAATCTCCGGATATATAACTGACACATTTGAGATCTTTCTTTACATTTCCTTATCTCCAGGTTTTGTTTTTATGTAGGTAAAACCGAAGTAAACATACAAACGTTTTTTATAATGATCAAAACAGAGTTTTACACAACATTAATAACATAATTAAGTTGATTGTTTCAATATAATTTCAGTATTGTGTAGAGTACTAACTAAGAATAATAATAAAAATACTAATTACAACAAAAAACAATTATAAAAATTTAACAAAAATAACCTATTAATAAAATTATAAACCTGAAAAAAAAATTAATAAGAAGGTAATTCTATAATTCAATTAGTAAATAACATTTAATATATACATACAAGATAATATAACAACTAAAATAAATCTGAATAAAAAAATAATCAAACAAACACAAAAAAATATAAAGTCAATTTAATATATTTAATTTAGAATTTAGCTGATAATTATATATGTTTAAGAACCAAATCAGTTTTTTTTTTTAAAAAAAGCATAAATAAAACGGTTTTTAAAATTCTAATTCAAAAGAAAAAAATTATAAAATTTAATAATATTTCACCAAAAACACCTTAATTACTATTTGAAAAACTAAAATTACTCTTCCCAGCAATTGTAATTTTATCAAATTTAAAAAATCAAATTAAAAATATCATAAATTTATATCTATATTAAAATCTTACCCATAATTCATTCTTAATTACACCAAGAACATCTAATTATGCTATAGGAACTCATTTGAAATTTCTTTCAAGTTTAAAAACTAAACTGTAAGTTTCACAAATGAAAAGATCAAATTGAAATTTCACCATTCTAAACCTTAAGACACTTACCATCTAGTGTTTCCAGCAAGGGTTTTTTCATAATTTTTTACACCCAATACATCAATTAAACCAATTAATTTCAAAATTATTATTCTTAACAAAATCATCTAAAAACCAACAAATTAAATCATTACCCATAACAATTAATCCATAACATTTCAATCCACTCATCAATCTAACTCAAAACATAAACTTCAAAATTTAAATCTTAACAAATTTGAAATCTTAATTAATATCAATAATTACACACATCAAAGCATAAATCTTAACCTATAAACTTATTTTCTCCAATTCTTTTTCCTTTTCTCTTCTTCTTCTATTTTACTCTTGATTTCTCTCTTTAAATTTGATTCTTCTTGTTTTTTTCTTTTTTCTATTTATATTTATTAGGAAAATTACCAATCTTTCAATCATTTATACCTAAAACTTACTCTTTCGAAGGTATTGTTGTCATTTCTCTATTAAAACCTTTCATTTTCTTTTCAAAATATTACAATTTCTTCACTTTATAAAAGCTTTTTTCTTGAAACTTAATAGACATCATTAAGAACTCACAATGACCATACCAAGTTTTAAAGGTTTTTCTTAGAATGCCTTCCTTCCTTATCTTCAACTGGTGATACTAGATCAAAGATTGATCTTAGAAAAGAATTAAGCTCCTTATAATCATTTTCAAGCAAATAATCTATCTAAGGAAATGGGTATCTACTCTAAACTATCACCCTATTCACTTCAATGTAAACTTTACACAATTTCAATGACCCATCCTTTTTTGACAGAGAACACTAAGGCCCCCCAAAAAGACACACTAGATTGAATAAACTCTTTATCCAACAAATCTTGTAGTTGTTCCTTTAGCTTCCTCAACTTTGTTGGCACTATTCTATATGGTGACATTGATATTGGTTTAGTACCTAGAACCAAAGCAACACAAAACTCAATCTCTCTGTACGAAGGTAATCCAAGTAAGTCATTTGAAAAGTCACCGATGAACTTTCTAACTATAGGGACTCGGTCTAACTGAGAAATTTCCTTTTCTATATCCACCATATATGCTAGGTAGCATTGTACCTCTTTTCCGCGCCATTCATCTTGAGATGATCGATCGCATAATTGCTGAAGATACAATCTTATATCCTTGAAATATTAACTCAACTTCTTCATCTAAGATGAAAAACTATTTTCTTACCACAATAATTCATTGAAGATCTATGCTTTAACAACTAATCTATCCCTAAAATTACATTAAAATAAACAATATCTAATACATTTAAGTCTCTCATAAAAATCTCATCTCCAATTTAATACCACAATCCAGATATACAAACTCCACTAATACTGATTTATATGAGTAGAGATTCAAATAGGGGATTCTAATAGAATTGGTTGCCTATTTAATATCATGGAAAAATACAAGAACATAAACGAATGAGTTGCACCCATGCCAAATAAAACTTTTACTTTAAAATAGCAAACACAAAGATACCTGAGCATCATATTGAGTCAAGGAAAATATTTTGACATATTCCAAACCTTATTATGTTTAGCTTCTATCACTTGCACCCCAATCTCTTTAATCTCGACCACCAAAACCTCTTCCACCATGAGCCACAAATTGTCCCATTTATAGTACTTGAATAAAAGGTTGAATTGAAGCAAATGCTCCTAAAGCTGATGGATGTCTCTTGGTACACTCCCGAATCTTATAACCTATATAATCATAACCGAAACAAGCCCTAGTCCTTCTTTAGCACTCTACACCAGTATGGCTTTCTCCACAATGCTGACATGAAAAACCATTCCAGATGAAACAAAAAAGCTATAAGGTGTAGTCTGATCTGAACATTGACTACTGAGCACCTCTACCACCACTTTGACTGCTTAAGCCACTGGCTGAAGATATCCGTCTAAACCTCCTCGGAATCCATGAGTCCTGATGACCACTCCGTTCCCTAGAAAGACTTGTATTCGGTCCCGGCTGTCTAAAAGCATGACCTTCTTCCCTAGACCTCTTGGATTGACCTGCAACCATGTCTTCTAATTCTCGTGCCTCAATCAACCTGGCCTTATCAACAGCTGAGGAGTAAGAAGGAAACACCTGAGACACCATCACTATATACATTGAGGATTTGAGTCCTCGAATGAACCTCTTCACCCTCCACTCCTCAGTAGGTAGAAAATGTTCAGCATACCTTGATAACTGAGTAAACTTTAAATCATACTCATCCACTGTCATGCTCCCTTGAGATAGCCTCTCAAACTCATAGAGTCGAGCATCCCTAACACTCTGAGGAAGAAATCTATCTAAGAACATAGTGCTAAACTCCTTCCATGTCCACTGAGCCTCCGTTGACCTCTCTCTCTTTCTAGATTCAAACCAAGAAATGGCCATATCTCCCTCTAACCTGAATGATGCAAGACTCACAGCTCGATGATCTGTACACCCCAAAGCTTCACACCGTCGCCATATATCATCCAGAAACCTTTGAGGATCCTCTGTGCTATCCATTCCAGTAAAGATAGGAGGTGCTAACTTCATAAAGTCATTCAATGAAACATTGACTCCCTGAACAGTGTTGGATGATGATGGAACATCTCTATCCCTTCTCCGATCTCTTTCCATACTAAACTCCATCCAAGTTCGCATAGCCTTACTAAGCTGCTGAAATTCTATAACAAACTCAGGGTTAGCTACCCTTACGCCTGTTTCACCAACAATATTTTCCACTTTTAACTCTTGAGATTCCTCCTTTACTATTGGATGTATCTCTTCAACATATCGAGGTGTGACTATACCGACCTTCCTTCTCTGCCTTGTAGTCCTCAATTGCATAATAGTGATATCGTCTTGATCGTCACCTACTTTACCAATACCAACTATTTGTCTATTTCTCAACATTTCCTATAAGAAATTAGAGCACTTAAATTATGTTAAAACTATAACATGATAATTATTATAGAATTCTAGGAAAACATATCTATCAAAAAGTTTAAAGAGTCAAAGAAAATATCCTTGACGAGAATTCAAAATTTCAAAGAAAATGGATAAAATGATATGGATCCTAATGTGACAGATATTATGAAATTATGTGTGCTACTGTTTCTTTAGCCTAAGACTCCGATGCCAAGTTTAGCACGACCTGATCCTCAAATCTATGACAGGCATATAGATAGGTCCCCTCTCTAGGTTTCCTTATCTATGTAAACCTAAACAAACATACAAACCTTTTTCTTTATAATAATCAAAACAAAATTCTATGCAACATTGATAACATAATTAATTTCATAAAATAAGTTGATTGTCTAATACAATTTTAATAATTTATGGAGCACTAACTAGATATAATGAAAAAGTAATAATTACAATTAAAAAAAAAGTTCTGAAAGTCCAACAAAAATGATCTGTTAACAAAACTATAAACCTAAAAAAGATAAATAATAAAAAGATGAGTTACAACTCAGTAAGTAGATAACATTTAATATACACATGCGAGTTAATACAACAACCGAAAGAAATCTGAATAAAAAATGCTCAAAACAAACTAAAAAAGAATGTAAAGTTAATTTAATACACTTAACTTAGAATCTGATTTATAACCCAATACGTTTAGGAACCAAACTGATTTTTCAGTTTTCAAAATTCTAATTCAAAAGAAAAAAAATTATAAAATTTGATAATAATTTACCCAAAAAATCTCAAATGTTCTTTAAGACCCATCTGAAAACTAAAATTACTGCTAGGATCAATCTGTAATTTTCAAAGATTTTAGGGGTCAAATTATAATTTTACCAAATTTGGAGGACCAAACTGAAAATGTCATAAATTTATAACTATACTGAAATTTTACCCTTAATTCATCCTTAATTCTGTCCAGAATCTAGAGTCATGCACCAGGGACCAATTTTGCAAATTCTTTCAAAGTTTGAGGATTAAAGTGTAATTTTTACAAATAAGGGACCAAACTGAAATTTTACCATCCTCTACCTCACGACACTGCTGTCCAGCTTTTCCAGTAATGGTTTTTTCACAATTTCTTACACCAATAATTCAATTAATCTCATTAATCTCGAAATCATTATTCTTAACAAAATCATCTAAAAACCAAACAATTAAACCATTAACCATAATTATTAATTCATAACTTTTCAATCAACTCATCAATCTAACCTAAAACATAAACTCCAAAACCCTAAATCTTAACAAATTTAAAATATTAATTAATACCAATAATTATACACATTAAAGCATAAATCTTACCTTATAAACTTATTTTCTTCAATTCTCTTTCCTTCTCTCTTCTTCTTCTTCTTCTTCTTTACTCTCCGTTTTTTCTTTTCAACTCTGATTCTTCTTGTGTTTTTGTCTTTTCCCTCTTCCTATTTATATTTACCAATTGTTAGCCAAATTACCAAAGTATCCTTCAACCATTTATGCCTAAAACTTGCTCTTACAAGGGTATTGTTGCCATGTCGTTACTAAAAAACCTTTCGTTTTCTTTGCAAAATATTACATACTGTGTCCCCTGGATCTTTGGAAACATTAAGCTGCCTGATTGCTCTGTTGATTCTAGTGATTAAGTAGACTTTAGAGGCCTGGTAGATTTCATTGCGGACGAGTAAATTGCATTCGTTGGTGATGAGAGTCAACAGAGACACATCATCTCCAAGACGGCCTCCAAGTATATTGCGATCCCTTGGAGTTTATGGGGAAGTATTAAATTGTGGGTCATGGTCTGGGCTTATTTGAGCACAGTTCGGATAAACATTACTGATGCTGCAAAGGCGGTGTGTGTTAATAAAACTGATGTTGTTGAAGGCATTGTTGGTTCAGAAAACATGTTTGACACGAAGGATTTGTCACCAAAGTGATGGTTTGGAGTGAGTGAGCTTTCTCTATTTGATTTGCTCACTGTGCTGCCATTGTGAGCGGAAAGAATTGGGAATATAATTTGTACGGGCCTCTGAAGTCTACTTCCACAATATCAGAAAACTTCTGCAGAAAATCTAAAGCCACAGGTCAATTACAGTAGGATTATCAATTGGAACGTGTTCCTGTACTCAATGTAAATGCTTTTTCGTTGGCTGCTTGCCCAGTAGTGAAGTCATGGCTGATAGTAGGAAGGTGAAAATATGTCCTGAGGCAGCTGACAAAAACCACAACGAAAAGACTCGCAAATTTAAGCAGCTTTTCAAGGGAAAGAATATATACATGTCTGCCTTCATTGGTTTCTCATGAGTCACGGTGACCGTATCCTAGCAATACCATTTCCAAACAGCTACCAGTTTTTATATCAGAAAATAGGAGATGTTGGAAAACGGTGTTGCTGGGATATGGTCATCATGACTATGAAGGCAACGTGTATATGTTATTTCCCTTGAAATGCTGCTTAAATTTTCATTTTCTTCTTCACTATAAATCACCATATACTCAGTTTTGGTGTCATTCCACATGCCATTTCTAGCCTTTATATATAAAAAACATACCATTGACCCCATCCACTTCATCAACTCAGCCGCTTTTCATCATCAATTCCTGCAAATACTAGCTTATTTCAACTATGCCTAAATTCACTCGTGTAAAATCTAGGATACCAAAACTAAGATTAATTATTTGTACTATAAGTACTTATTGATATACTTGAGAATTTTGGATACAACAGTAACAGACTGACAGCTTTTAAATCAACCTTAACTTCTATAGTTTTAAAAGAGAACGCGCGCATATGACAATTCATGTTCTTCCTTTTGCTTTTCTTGTTCTCTTCCCCCTACTTGTCTCGGCTTTCTTCTCCTCACATTTCTCCTCCACATCCAGGCTTTCGTTTTTGTTGTCATTTTCTTTTTGATTTTCATCCACTTCCCCTTGTTTTTCAACATCAGGATGTTTGCGTTTCATTCCCTTTTTCCTTTCTAGAAATCCAATGAGCCCTGTAAGCGTAGTATCAACGTCTTCATTCTTTATGAGCTCTTCTGCAACCTCTGCTGGAGTCACTTCCACTTCCATAATCAACTCATCAATCTCACTGAAAAGGCTATGTTCTTTAATGTTGAGGTAGTTAGAAGCAAGAATCTTGAATCCACAAGGAGTGCAGTAGCACATGTGTATGTGCATGTCCATCCTGCCTGGTCTCAGCAATGCAGGATCTAGTTTGTCCTTGTAGTTGGTCGTGAACACAATTATCCTCTCATCTCCACAGCTTGACCATAAACCATCAATGAAGTTAAGCAGTCCAGACAAAGTTAACTTCTACAAGACAAGAAAAAAAATCTTAATTAGAGGACCACAAACAATATCCTGTATAATTTTAGTACAGAAGAGAAGCAAACATAATGAACTCACCCGACTCTTACCCTGGTTGTACCCTCCATTTTGTCGATCCTGCAACTCCATACTACAATCGATGTCCTCAATTACAAGTATAGATCGATTTGTTGTGCGGGTTAGCAATCTCCTTAGATCTGAATTGCCATGCAAACTTGCAAGTTCCAGGTCATAGATGTCAAACTTCAGGTAGTTAGCCATGGCTGCTATCAAGCTCGACTTGCCTGTGCCAGGAGGGCCGTACAACAAGTACCCACGTTTCCATGGTTTTCCTACTTTTAGGTAGAAATCCTTTCGCTTCAAAAATCTGTCCAGGTCATCCATTATCTCTTCTTGAGTACAGGATCCATTGCTAACGTTTCGAAAGTGGACGGATGGTAAAGGTTGACACCCCCGTAATTTCCAAGTGATTGCAGCTTGAGCACTTCTCTTTCATTTTTTATGGCTTTGGATCTTTCTAGTACATAAGGAAGAAAAGTGTTCACCACCTTCTCCTTGTTATTCTTGTGGAAGCAAAGCAGAATTGATCTATGTTCTGTTTTTCCTGATGCCTGGGACCAGCTTTCAATATCAACAACCGTTTGTTGGGTTTCAGTACATGCGAATTCCCAAGCTAGCTCCATTCCCTCGAATATGTCAATAACCCGTTGGCCCTTGTTGATTGTGACTGAAAGGCTTTTGTCCCCTGGACCCTTGGAAACCTTGAGCTGTCCGACAGAGGGAGTGATTCTTGTGCTCAAGTAGACCTCAGAAGCCTGGTATATTTCATTGATGGAGTGACCATTGTATTCATTGATGACGAGAGTCAATCGAGAAGAGACACTTCCGAAAAGGTGTCCGAGACTTGATGAAATTTTCTCTTGCAGTTTTTGGGGGATTAATTGGCTAGTCATGGTCTGAACTTCATTGAGTACAGACCGGAGAAGCATTGCGGATGCTGCAAAGGTGGTGTAAGTTGATAAAACTGATGTTGTTGAAGGCATGGCTGGTAGAGAAAACATGTTTGATATGAAAGATTTGTATGCAAGCTGGTGATTGGGATGGACGAAGATTTCTCTGCATGTTTTTTTATGGAGCCAAAAATAGTGAAAATAGCTTCTAGTTGAAGCCACCTGATGCAATCTTCTCGAGCAATTCTTTCAGAGTAGGTGACCTGTCTGGGTCAATGACTTGGACCGTTCCATAGTCTTGCCATTAACTTTACCAGAGATGGCTAAGGATAACTATTAGTAAAGTTTCTACTGTAACCATATCTTATTTATTATATATTAAATAAAAAAATTAAATATTCATACTCTATTATTGTATTTCAATTATTTTTACCCGGTTCTATTTATTATTCAACATAAGAGAAATTAATATATATATATATATATATATATATATATATATATTGAATTGATAATATTTATATTCTATTCATCAGTAATTATCAAGGAATTCTTTGATATTTAAACTAGTAAGTAAATGAAAAAAAATATAAATGAAACAAAGAAAATATAATTATAGAATAATGTTGGGTATGAGAAAATATGACTAGTTAAGTTTACTTGGTGATTAATCTGAAACATTATTAATTAAGTGATTGATAAATATCAATCACATGTTAACTTAAAATCATCATTCTTCAAGAAAAGAAATGTCTGATTGCATAAGAAGCTATTAATGTTTGAACTGTAAATCATTGGCTATAAAAAATAATGCCAACCGTGCATAAAAATGTATATTTACAGAATGTATCAATATATAAATAAATAAAAATTTAGCTTTTTTTGTTTTTGTATTTTAAAAATACTTTTAAAAAAATTAAATTAATTTTAAAAATACTTTTAAAAAAATTAAAAAAAATTTTTGCTTCAAATTATTATTTTTAAAAGTATTTAGATTATTTTAATATATTAATTATAAAAATAATTTTTAAAAATTAAAAAAAATATTATTTTAATATATTTCTAAATAAAATATTTAAAAAAAAAACAAAACTACCATCTATTATTTTTTTTCTTTCCAAGGGGCATGCTTGGAGAGGAGGCAGCATTGCCTGGTTGTAAATTCAACTCTGTTGAGTATAGTTTATTGAGTAGTGTGGTTATAATTATTTTTTAAATGATTTTTCATATTAAAATATATATTTATAATATTTTTTATTTTTTTAAAATTATTTTTATTATTAATACATCAAAATGATTCAAAACATGCAAAAATACATTAAATTTTAATAAAATTTTTGAAAATACGATTTACTTCAGTTTTCCAAACGGTGCATTGTGGCTCACGAACTAGCACAGAACCATGAACTTCTTCCAGATGACCGTCACCATTAAAAAAAAAAGAGAAAATTATAAGAACAATCCATAGTAAGTAGTTGTAGAGGGCTCGAAGATTTGTCCTGTTAAATTGGTTCCATGAGATATCTCTAATCTTCAAAAAGGAAAAGGGGAGGGAAAAAAGGACATGAAAAGACAAACTGAACTTCAGATAATTAGGTGCATGGTAGGAAGAGGTGTTCTCCATGAGATCAAGGAATGTGACGTGTCTGTAGATTCACAGGAGAAATGTTCTATAGATTTTCATATTGTTTCTGAAATTATCACCGTATACTTTTTGTTAGAAGTGCTTGCACTCATCATTAGAATTTTCAGGATGGATTCCCAGAAACACCACTCATTTTAATAGAGCCAAAACCCAAGTACAGAGCAAGGATCAATGCCCCAAGTTCTGCGCTCAAATATATCGTGAACTTGTCCCCAAATAATCATGTACAAAAATGTAATGCAGCTTGTACGATCGCCTAGAAAAAATATTGGGGCAGAACCTACAAACAACAAAAATATATGCAGCATGAACTTACTTCAATGCTGACTCTTCAATAATGTCAGACCAAGATATAGAGTCCCTCTTTTCATAGTCACTTGGATCAAGTAGAACATCACATAAGCTTCCTTTACCATTGGTATGAAGTAGAACGTTTAGCAGCAGTTTTCGTTGCCGTATTCTCCAGGTTTTATATGTGCCAAGCAGACTCGAAAAGCGCTAAAATAGGATCTCCCCGGTTGATGCATTCTGGCGTCTTATTTGTAGGTAAACTGACTGGATCATCTTCCATGACCGTAGTATGATCCACTCCTCCAGTTTCTTCCTTGCTAGCACTGGCTTCTTCTGTCTCCTCGTCAGCAATGCATTCTTTCTCTTTCATGGTCTCATTTCTCTCACCTTTAGGACTGGTTGCTTCACTGCTAACAGTGGATCGGATCATCTGCTTTGGGCTCCCCTCCGTGCTCTGTGTGCTTTCACTTGTCCCCTTCTCTAGTGCATCCTTATATGTGGATTTCACAACTTTCTCCAGTGCGTCCTTGTATGTGCATCTCTTAGCATTCGGACTACTTGCCTCAGTTTCCGAGCCTGATGTAGCAGACATAGGACTGAAACATCCCTTTGTTTCATTTTGGAACCCTACTATATTAGTATCTGCTTCTTGAACATTTGTTTGTTCAATACTGCTGTCGTTACAGTTTATATCGACCATAATCTCCTTTTCGTGAGTGGTTCCTGATCCCCAATGAGTCAGGATAGATAGCCAAAAGTTCAGCCATGAGATAGCACATGACAGTGCCCAATCTAGAATTGGAATTTGGTGGAAAATAATGGGTAACTTGTTAACAGCGAAATCAAATTTTGCTGGAAGGGTTTCTACGATTTGGACGAGCTTGTCAACCTTGTTGAACACATAATTCGATGGTGGGAAAATAGCCTCAACCTTTCTTTCAAGGGCTAATATTATATGATTATCCACAAAAGAGAGGATTGCCAAGAAGAAATACTCATACCGCAGCACATGGACAAGAAGGGAAGCAAATGGAGCTAACCTGATTATCTTCTTTGTCACGAGACCTAACGGCCCATTGAATTCTTGGGTTTCTGTGTAAGCTTTGCGAGCGATTTCCATTACAGAAACTCCACATGTATGCAGCGGACGCCGCCTAGCACTCATTCTGCAGGTTCCTTCTCTGTTGATTCCTGAGAAATTCAATCCAAACATATCAAAGGTTTGGTTTCCCATTTTTTAGGCTCAAAATGAAATATTTCCCTTGAACGAACCCATTAGATACACCAACATTTTGCAGGAAATGGTAGAAAAAAACAGAAAACAATTTATGTTAAATAATTTGACATGGGAAATCAGAAAACAGATTTAACAAGAATATTTCCCATGTAATTAATAATCTCAAAAGCACATTTAATTATTCCCTAAATATTTATGAATTGAAATATAAGAATGGAAAAAGAATTGAAAGTAACAGTTATTAGCATACCGTTAACTAATTCAAGTTAAAAAAAAAATAAGAAGAAAAAAACTAATGTATAGAACAAACTATTACCAAAGAATGAAGTGAGGCTGAGGAAGAGAACGCAGGAAATGAGATCCGTCTATTAGCGGGGCCAGATCCTGAACAGTTGCCATCTATTTTAGAGGGAGAATATATCGTTTGACAGTTCTTGGAATTTCGTATTTTAATCCTAGAAATTAGAAACACCTTTGAATTATTTTTTTAATTAATTTGAGCTGTTATTTACTTACTGTTTTGGGACAAGAACAAAGAAAAAAAAAACGTGTATTTTTATCGTTTCTATTTTGAAAATACAAAATTCGCTTTAACTAAATATAATTTTTATATATATTTATTCTCTCTTTTAAAATACTATCCAGACACAATTTTAGCAATGCCTATGAAACGACTGCACAAATAAACTGTACGTATAGAAATTTAGTCCCGTCGATCTAAGTGTAGCCAAATCAAGAAAGATTCCTGGGGAAAAGAGGAACTAAACTACAGTATCATTCCCTCGCGAAGCATCAACAGATATTAAGCATGGCCACTGTGATCGATCGTGCTGCAAAAGAACCCAAGAAGAAGAAAGATTCTTGCTATCACACACCACAATTCCAAGAAAAGTTCCCCATGTACTATGTCGCCCGAGATAATTCTGTATCTGACAGTATAAAGGAAGGCGCAGATCTATGAAAAAGGGGATTTTTTTGGCATTTGATCACTCCTGAAGATGACATGAAAGATAACTTACAATAATAACTGATGCAGTGGCCACTGTAAAATAACTGGCATGTATTTATACACCATCTTTTATCTTGCTATGTACCAGATTGATGTGTTTTATATATATGCGCGTTTGATCTGTACAGGCATGCCAGGAGGTGGAAGATGTTTGTTCCGGTCCCTGATTCATGGTGCTTGCCTTGGGGCTGGGAAACCATCTCCAAGCGAAAGCCTCGAGAAAGAACCAGCTTATGAGCTTAGAGATAAGTAACTAGTAATAAAAAAAAAATGAAATTTAATAAAAAAAATTAATAAAAAAAAAATGAAATTTAATAAAAAAATTTAAATGAAATTAAAAAAATTAATAAAAAAATAGGTAACATGTTGGATTAAAAAACAAATAAAATGACATGTTTATATTTTAATAAAAAAAATAGTTCATTGTATCTCAATTATTATTTTACCGTGTACATATGCAGCACCAACAAGAAAATAATGGTGAGACGCTTCCAGCACAGCACTGGAAAAAAATGTTTGGACATGGAATGAAACAGCATGCATCCATAACTTTTGTTTTATAAATAATATTTATATTTGTGAAAAGATCAAATCTCCTCTCAGTCAACTTGTTAATAACTAAAAAATCATTTTAAAAATATATATATAAAAACTCATAAATGCAAGCTTGATAAATTTTGTTTTTAAAGGTAATATAGTTTTTAAGATGTGATTTTAAAATGTTAATAAATCGAATTACCCAAGCTTTTTAACAATTTTTACTTGTAAGGGTGATATAGTATATACATTGAACATATAAAAAAGATAAAAATATGGCTTCTATAAAAAAAAAAGATCACATTACCTTAATAGCAAGCTTATTAATTTTTATTGGAAGGAAAAAATGATAATTAACTATTATGGCATATATTGATTTGTGTTTAAATGTATGTTTGAAATTAAAGTTGAACTTGTTTTTTATTAATTAATTAATTAATTATATATTGCTTTAGATTAATTCTTTTAGTGTTTTTAGATTATTTTAATATACTGATATTAAAAATAAATTTTAAAAAATTAAAAATAAAAAAATAAATATTTTAATATATTTTCAAATAAAAAACACTTTAAAAATTAATAACCTGCACAATCCCCGCTAATCCTCAAATATACAGTGTATTCTCAAGATAAAAATATTAAACTGTCTCATCAATATTTTAAAAAATTTTGTTTTTAAGAGTATAATTTTTACATTGTATATTTAAAAGATAAAAAAAATATTTATCTCTTATCAATCTTATAATGATTAGTGGCTTCCATAAAAAAAAGATCATATTAGCTTATTAATTTTTATTGAAAGGAAAAAATGATAATTAACTATTATGGCACATATTGATTTGTGTTTAAATGTATGTTTGAAATTAAGGTTGAACTTGTTTTTCATTAATTAATTATATATATATATATATATATATATATATATATTGTTTAGATTAATTGTTTTAGTCTTTTTAGATTTTTTTAATATACTAATATTAAAAATAAATTTTAAAAAATTAAAAATAAAAAAATAAATATTTTAATATATTTTCAAATAAAAAACACTTTAAAAATTAATAACCTGCACACTCTCCGCTAATCCTCAACGCTAATCCTCAAATATACAGTGTATTCTCAACGCCAAACAATTTTGTTTTTGATCTGTTTTGATTTTAATTTTAATTTCTTACTTTTAGTTAGCCCATGTTAGTTAATGGAATATCGATGTCATGCATTATTTTCTTTTCTAGGATGCCAAACACTGTATCATGAGAGATAAAAGTTCCGGTAGCCTTAAAATTATAGCTGAATACGGTCAATATTATGGTAGTGAGAATCCTGAGCGTGTCCTGTATCATGGTTACGGGCACTATGAAGCACCGCCCAGTGTGATAGGTGGTGCGCATCCAAGCAGTAAGATCTCTTGCTTCCTTCTTACTACTTTCATTTCTTTCAGAATGCACACACTTCATCAGCATTCTCCTTAGGAGTTCTACGATGACTGATGTGTGTGCTTGTGAGGATATATTTTCGAAGGCTGTTGTGCATCTAGCGATTAAGTTTTTTGAAGAAAAAGGTTCAACTTCAGTGCCAATAAATTTGAGCTTTGCTGGGATCTTTGTTTAGCATAGATTAATTTGTCGTCAAATTTGGCATGCAAGGCTTATTGGGAATCGAACACTTGTTCTTGTAGAGACTGGATGACCTGATTTGTCAATATAGAAGACTACATTTTGCCTCTAATTTTGCTTCTCATGCCGCATAAAGCTGTTGAAGAACTGTGAGATGCAAATCTGGTAAATATTCTGCATTTCTGTACTTTGCTGGATTTTCCTCAACTTTGTAAAGTTCAACTTTTACTAATATCTGTGAAGTTACGAGCTGTTATGCTAATGGGAATATTTCTTTTGGGATTCTTGGCAGGTCCAAGAAAAGATGAAGAAATGGTTTGCATGCCATTCTCACAGTATGGGATGTACTTTCTGGTCTATAGAATCCTCTTTGGTACTAGAGATTATCTTATTCCTTGATGAACTTTAAGCCACTCGATATGAATCCTACATACAAAAATTTGATGCAATCGCAAGCTGCAGTCGCTCCTGATTAACCTGGCTAAAATTTTTATTAAGAAAAAATGAAATGAAGAAAATTTGATGAACTGGTTGGATATTTGCACCTGTGAACCGTGGCTTTTACCCCTCTTAAAAAGCTCCTTGAACTCTTCCTAAAAGAGTATCTCAAATATAAATAAATAAATAATCACCAGACTCATTAATCTCCTTCCCTTCAACTTTACCAGGCTAGTTTCTTGTTTTCATATTAAAGTTTCTTGCTGGTTAAATCTTTGATTAATAACTTCCATCATCACTTTTTCTCAGAAGAATCTCTTAGATTAGTTTTTGTTCATAAATAAAGTTGTCTTTAGACTTCAACTTTTGAGATTTCAGGTTTAGCTCACGTAGAGATGTGATTGGCTCGGAACTCAGACTTGCAAGTGATAACTGGAAAATTTATTGTTGCATGCTCTACTGGAATCACCATACAAAATTCACTGACGTCAGTTAACTGAACCAACCCGCTCAAATTCCATGCGTGTATACACCATATGCATATGAGAGAATTGAGGGAGACTATTCACCATCCTTCCATACTTCCCGGAGGAGTTGGTATCTAACAACTTTGCGGCCCGCCTTTCCCTTCTGCATCCAATTCCATGCTGTCGAAGCGGGAAAAACCTTGGAGTTTTCAATGATAGAAGTCATAGGTGAATCCAACTCATCAAGTTCATCATCACTAGTGTACGACTTTCTAAGCATTGCTGATCTACTCCTCTGCAGAGTTTGGCTTCCCAACTCTCCTATAATGTTTGTTAGAGACGCTGCAGGAGGTGGGGAATAGATTGTGGGAACAGCAATTCGTGGAAAGTTTGTGAGAGACTCCTCCCCAGCTTCAGCAAAATCCTATATCAATATGAAGGCCAAAAAAAATGAGTGAGTTTATTGCATATTTAAGAAATGGGAAAGCAGATGTCTCCTTTTGTTTTCGAAAAAGCAATGGCTTCTTGGGGATGGGATAACCTCAGAATCCAGGGCCTCAAAAATGGTCTCTGGGATTGGGTCGGGGTTGAATTCATCTGGGACAAAATTGTTAAGAACCCTCTTGATCATCGGAGCATCAAATGAAGGGCATACCTTCAGAAAATCAAATTTAAACAACGAAAATGGAGAATGTCATTTATAGAGAAGAAAAAATCTAACAAGAGGGGAGGGATCGAACAGGGACAACTTATCACTGAAAATATTTCGGATTTACCTCTTTTCTAGTGGACCTATCTGCAAGCATTTCAAATGGAAGCATCATGAGATCACTCAAAGCATTCAGAAGGTGGAAAGCCTTGAAGGATGTCTCACTTACACGCCTAGTGCTACAAAGTTCATCCTTCTCTTCTGAAGAGTCACTATCATCAATACCAAATAAATCCGTGAGCCATCTGGACCAATTTCCAACCTGGTGACATGAAGACAAGAAAGCAAGATCCTTTCATCATGACAGAGAAAAATAAACTAATACAGTTGATGTGATTTATGGTGTTAAACAATAAGCATCCAGAAAACTATTTTGCAAGTATATAGCGCCAACGTAAAGAACTGATCCTGCATTGGAAAGAAGCATACATTTATCACAAACTTTAGCAGATTTCTTACATGCTTTCAGTAGCTACTACTAAGTGCCAGATACTTTTCTGATGGAAGAAGCACGCAAACAGAGTACTACCCAGTGAACAGTCCAACGGATACCCAGAAAGATCAATTATCCAGAGTTAGATTCTTTTGAATATTTTCTCAGTGGTGAATTCTGTGAATAAAGCTTTTTGTAGGAAAATAGGTTACTAGTGTTGCACACA